TTTTTTTTTTTTTTTTTTTTTTGAGATAGGGTCTCGCTCGGTCGCCCAGGCTGGAGTGCAGTGGCATGATCTTGGCTCACTGCAACCTCTGTCTCCTGGGTTCAAGCGATTCTCCTGGCTCAGTCTCCCTAGTAGCTAGAACTACATGCACCCACCACCATGTCTGGCTAATTTTTGTATTTTTAGTAGAGACAGGGTTTCGTCATGTTGGTCAGGCTGGTCTCGAACTCCTGACCTCAGGTGATCTGCCAGCTTACAGGAATGAGCCACCATGCCCGGCCCTGCCTTGGCCTTTCAAAATGCTGGAATTACAGGTGAGAGCTACCATGCCCAGCCTACTTTTATTATAATAACATCTTATGTTATATTGTAATACAGTGCTGTTCTTGTGGCAAACGAGATGTAATAAATGACCCCATGTTGCTATGTCTTTTTGAATTCTTGTGAGTACTGTACAAAGTTTATTCCACCTCCTCCATTATTATCCAATTTGTATTTACCTTCTATTGGCACCTTCAGTTATCCCTAACCACCATCCTAAACCTCTCTCAGAATTGTTTCTTTCGGTATACTGCAAACTGAAAAATCAACAAACAAAGCTAGTTGAACATTATTTCAGGTACTCAGATGCCTTAAAATTTACTTCCTGGCCTGGCGCGGTGGCTCATACCTGTAATTCCAGCACTTTGGGAGGCCGAGGCAGGCAGATCGCGAGGTTAGGAGATCGAGACGATCCTACCTAACACGGTAAAACCCCATCTCTACTAAAAATACAAAAAATTAGCCAGGTGTGATGGCGTGCGTCTCTAGTCCCAGCTACTCAGGAGGCTGAGGCAGGAGAAAAGCTTGAACCCGGGAGGCGGAGGTTGCAGTGAGCAGAGATCATGCCACTGCACTCCAGCCTGGGCAACAGAGCGAGACTCTGTGTAAAACAAACAAAAAATTACTTCCTAATTTTGTCTGTGTTGCCAGTGAAGAGATACAGAATGAATAAAATGACAAATGGCGTCCTGACAAACAAAACCGTATTGAATCTCCTTCTCCCTTTTTGCTAATGTGGCTGTTGAACTTCTTCCTCTTACTAGAGTCACAGCTTGGCCTTGGTCAGTGTTAGATGCTTGTCACTCTCAAGCCAACTTATAGTTTAAAAAATAGCTTCTTTTTCTCTGACTTCCATTTTATTTTTCAAAAGGGTCTTTATAAATCTATTAAAATACTTCTAAGAATTATTGTTATGCCTATGTTCATTTTCAGACAAAATAGAGACAGTCTATACTATGGGCTTACAATTTTTAATTTAAAGAAAATCAGTGAAAGTTTATGTTAGTATAAAGACCTGTTAGTATAAAGGCCTTATGCAAGATATGAGAAATGGGGGTAAGGACGGGAAATTCACCAGTA